TATCCAAGAGTACTTCATTGTAGAATAGTCCCAATCGAAAAATTGAAAACATTAGTTGTATTTGGAAGGAAAAACCCTCCCGTATACAATTTAGGTTCAAAATACAAAACAAATCATTTGAAAGTTACGCGCAATCTTCGCAAAACTTCTCGTGGACACATGACAGGGGGTGAATATTTTCACGAAACGTTTGTTCGCCACCACAGCAACCTAACTAAATATATTGTATTTATTGTATTTTTGTGATTTATGATAAAAACAACAAATAATAATTTATATATTTTGAACAAAACTAGATCTGTGGATGCACTTATCCGGTTTTCAAACTTATATTGAGTCAAACAAAGCCAAAAGCCTCCTTTGAATGCTTGCGTAATGTTTTTGACTGTAAAAAGTCGTCATTGGCATTCTTGTCGGCATTGCAACGTTCAGAGTATTACTGTACTTTTAAACAAAAAAGACTGAAAACTATGGAAAAGGTAACTTCAACAAATTATAACGTAAACAGCGGACAATACATCAATATTTATAATCGTTTATTCGTTTTGGATTTTGGAAGCAACAAGCCGTTCAAGATAGCACATGCGCAGCTCACGCAAACGCATCACGGATGGCACGCGCAAAACATTAGGCATTTCCAATCCCTGTTTTCTGGATTGTCTATGATCATTCTAAGGACCGCATCTAACTTTTTGAGTATAGTTTCCGCGGTTATTTCACAAAGAAGAAGGCGATGATGATAATAGACGTGAATACAAAAATATGCCTATTAAGAGTTATAGTAGCACACCTAACTGTATTGGTATATAGTGTTAAAAATAACCCCCACCCCCGAAATGAATGGATAGTGTCTAAAATACCTAAAACTACCAAAACTTTGCCCACATATGCTTTGAAACTGGAATATATGCTGTTGGGCGGTATAAACTTAGAACTAAAATGTTCCAAACACCATTGATCACCCCCAAGACAGTATATCATTTTGTCTAAATTTGCCCATTTAGCAATGTTTTCGTGCCGCCGGGCATGGTTCTGACGTTCAATTATTGGCAACATTTGCACATCTCTGGTCATATACAACACATATCATACTATGTCCACAAAAAATTTCGGAGAGATACTTTCTGTTCGCTTGTTTCATTTTTATAATAAACTTTGCGAATTTTTGAAGCTGTGACAGCAAATTTTTATGGCAATAATTTTCATGGCTAAACGAAATTGCAGATAAACAAGGCCAATTTTAAGAATAAATCATTCGAGTAACTCGGCCATGTTTGGTATCAAAATAAAGCTTAGGCACCACGCTATTTGAATATATAAACCATATAAACAGACGTGGCTGTGCCTACATCCCTGGGGCAAGAAAGCGCTAGAATTTTACTTCCGGTATTGTTGATGGCGGGATTAATTTGGGAATATAAATATGTTTTAAAAGTCTATGTCTGACGTTCTGAAAGCATTGGATTTACATAAATTTAATTAAAAGATTTCCTTTTCAACGGAAAAATGCCTTATTTAAGCTACAATCTTGGACATAACTGGTTGAGACTATTTTCCCCCTATAGAAAATTCGCGTATTTTTATGATAAACTCTATGTTGAATCATGTTGCCATTCTTAAACCCCCGCTCCCCCAACTCAATGTTGAGCTTGTATCTTGGTATATTACCAAAAGTTGTTTCGGCGTTGTTCACGTGCACAACATTGAACTGGGGGAAGGGGAGACAAAGTTTGCTTTGTCAATGTTCAATAACTTTGTAATATTAGCTGGAATGGTCTTAAGGGTTTTGTCCAGGATTGTAGCAATTCAGTCGGCGATTTTTCTCCTCCTGGCAAATGTGATCGAATGAATGACATCCAAAAGAATTAGAATTGCTTACTTCTGAAAAGCGACTGCATACTTTTGTGCACGAGTTCACTCATTTGCATCCATCAGAAACACAAAATCGCCGACAAAATTGCTAGTGTCAACCAGGATTTATGTAAGGCATTTACAAACAGCATTTCTTTGTCTACTGAACATTGCCTAAGTTATGTAAGAAGGCTGCCGTAAAATCAAAATGATACATGCATGTTATACTACACTGGCAGTGTCTGGCACCGTAACTCGAGATTATATGTACAACTAGAAAATACATGCATGCAGAAACCCTCGCCTTGCTGACAAAACCATTGTATTTTCCGAACATGAAGTATCTTAAGTAGTTGTCATGGTAACACGATAATTTTTTAAAAATTTTCTTACAAATGAAAAATCGCCTAAAAATATCACTTTTAAATACAAAATTATCAATTTCCCAACATATATATGTTAAGTATGATACTAGAAATACATGCATGCAGTAACCCCTTGCCAATATTTTCCAAACATTAAATTAACATGAAGTATTCAGAAATGGCCCACTAAACGCAGGCTCGCGTTCAAGTGTTGCCATGACAACACGATATTCTTTAATTTTTAATTTTTTCATATTTTTTGTACAAAACAGCAATATAGTTGAAAGATTCGTACATTTAACTATACAACAATAAATTTCCGAAATATATACTGTAGGTACATTATTTTGCAATTTGTGAGCTTTGATTTAATGTAAAATCTAAGTTAAAACGCTTCGTAAAATTTTTGAAATGTTCATTCAACTATAGTTCATTTGCCGATAAACAAATAATAAAACATATATAATAACTAAATAAGTTACAAATAAAAGAAATTGTTAGGTAATTTCAGTTTCTCAAATTAAACGGTAATTTATAAAACTTATAGTTCCGTTGAAAAGGAAAACAGTTCATGTTTTTAGGCAAAAAGTTTAAAGCAACAAAATTCGTAAACATACTAACCATTAAATATTCAAAGCAAACTTGCCGTATATTTCACGATTTCCCATCATAAATAAATTCTTCTCATTTCTTCAAACAAAATTGCTTCAAGCTTGTTGTGTACGAACGATTTTCCAAATATATGTCTTTCAAAATTGAAATCTTGCTCATCCCACTCCAACAAGCAATCAGCCATATTTTTGAGATCAGTAAGGATGACCACCTACTCACCACTCTCACCAGATGACCAACCACTCACCGTCTATTTAGATAACAAGACGCGGGCGTCAAGAAGATGTGGATGCCGTCATTTTGCGCCAACTACGGTCAGCTTCTGGTTTGCGACCAGTGAAATGAATATAACTGGAACGCTACCTTCAACCGGAAGCTTGATGCTCAATTGTGCAAGTCACCCCCAGTCTTTCCACATAAAAACACGACCAAGCAAAATATTTTTATGCGATTTCGTCTGATCGGGTCGAAACTCCTAAAAAAACTCGTTTTAGGGAGATAAAAACTAATTTTGTCATTACCTTCGGCTAGTTGAAACATTCTTGATGTTAATAGACTGCATTTTTTGTATTCTTTGTATGGAAATACTGAACAAAACGGTTCTTTGTTGGGAAGAAACGTAGAGCCCAGGCGTGAAGTTTTCATTTACCATGTTGGGAGATGTTTTTTTTTCTATAATTGATGCATTTTTGTGCAATCTAGTCACTTAAGAATGGGAATGAAACAAACATAAACTTATAATATAAAACAGTGTCAGTATCAAATGTATTTTGTGATGAAATTTTAGCTTTTGGGAGTGCCCAAAACATTGAAGTTTCTCCTCTACCCAGTCCTTTTTTAATTTAGAGCGCATATTTACTGTAGTTGTTTAGTAAACAAATATTTAAAGGGAAGAAAAAAATATGAAATTTTGAAAGGAAAAATTGATATTTTTGTGACAGTGTTAGTGAGTAAAAATCATGCCACTTATAACTGTGTTATACTTGGGTGTACAAACAGGGGTATTCCTCACCATGGACAGGATGCTACTGTAGCTTTTCACAGATAATGACAATTATTTCCATACATTAACAAGATAAAAAACAACTCATGGAAAGGATATCTTCATATTTAATAAAACAGATCAAAATTACATTTCTTGTACTGAAATCTACAAGCCTACATTTCTACATATTACTTTATCACCATTTCTGGCTATCATTGCTTTTACAATGACAACAGGGTCTATACTGAATTTTTTGTGTGTGGTGTAATGTACTCAGGTGAATATGATGTTACTCAGAGTGTATATCCACACCGGCCAAGCTTGAAAAATATGCCTGGGCTAGTATTCCAAAGGTCGTAAGTTCGTTTCCCACCGTGGCCAGGCATATTTTTCAAGCTTGGCCGGTATGGATATACACTCAGAGTAACATTACAAGCAGCAGGGTCTATATTGTTGCATCTTTGCCCGCACACATAAGCAATTTTTCCTTGACAAGTTTCCGTGGTTCAAAATTGGGCATGACCACATTTTGAACCAGGCTCCTTGTCAAGGAAAACTTGTCATTTTTTTTCACATACACACAAGCAAATAAAATGTGTCAAGGAAAATTACTCGTCTGTGCGGGGCTTAAGTGTAACCCTTACATGTTGAAAACCACAGCACAAACCATGTAAGAGTATTTTTTCCAGTACTACAGTACCAATAAAGCCAAATTGGCTGCTCACAATATATGTATGTTATAACTATTATGGATTTGTAATGAAAGATAAGTCTGCCTTAGAGCAGTGGGAGCATTTTGTTCAAGAAACCAATAGGCCCAATATACTTAAAGAACCATGGAGGGCAACCAGTACTAGCCATATTTGTAGCCACCACTTCCAAGTAACAGATTACATCATCCCTCCTTCAGTGAATGGGTCATGTCGACTAAAAGAGTATGTCATACCATCAAAGTTTCATGACGCAGCAACCGTGTTGTATACAATACCCAACACAACAAGATGCAGGCTGGACCTGTCGAACAAGAGACCAATCCCCCCAACTGATTTGGAAAACCTCTCGCCTCCAGAAAAAATTGCCAGAACTGCATCTACAGAAGAAAAAAGAGATGAGTTACAAACAAAGTTAGACAAAAAATTCGCAACTTACAACAGCAATTACGAAGGTCAAAAAAGAAAGTCAAAACTATGAACGAAGTCATCAAAGTGTTGGAAGAAAGATCACTGGTAAGTTCAAAAGAAGCAGAAAGTCTACAATCAACATTTGAAAATAAACATCTTCAATTTCTGTATAATTTCAAAAACTTAAGGGCATCACCATCAGGAAGGAGATATTCGGATGAAATAAAAGAGTTTGCTGTGACTTTATACTTTTACTCACCGAAAGCATACAAATATGTTAGGTCCATTATCCCATTGTCAAACCAATCTTTGATAAGAAAATGGTCAACTTCGTTTAAATGTGACCCAGGCTTTATAGAAGAAGCATTCACATCCCTGTCTGATTTAATCTCAGGTTCACCAATTAACAAGGACTGCTGTTTGGTAATCGATGCGATGTCCATTCGTAAGCAGACACTCTGGGATGCTGAAAAATATCGGTACTCAGGATTTGTTGATTTTGGTGATGAAATTCATAATGATAAGTCCGCAACACTGGCTTCCGAGGCATTAGTTTTTCTGTTGGTCGGAACGAGAAGTCATTGGAAATGTCCCATCGGATACTTTTTAGGAGATAAAATCAGCGCCAAAGACCAGGAAAAATTAGTATCAAAATCATTGGAAATGGCAGCAAAAGCTGGACTAAAGGTATGGTCGATGACAGCAGATGGGACAGCAGTCAACCTTAGAACATTTGAAATTCTCGGTTGTAGTTTTAATGGCAGTTACGATGAGATGACCACTTCAATCATTCATCCAACTACTGGTGAAGAAGTTTTTATCATTCTTGACCCCTGCCACATGCTTAAACTTGCTCATAATGCTTTGGCACATCTTGGGACAATTGTTGATGGTGAGGGAAATGCGATAAGGTGGCACCACTAACTTCAAAAGTTACAAGAAGTGGAAGGACTGAATCTGGGGAACAAACGTTCTCCAAATCACCTAAAACTTCAAAAACACAAAATGAATGTTAGACTAGCAGCGCAAACATTAAGTTCTTCGGTG